GCAAACTCCATGTAGAAAGGCAGCCAGGTGTTGAACCTGCAACCTTTCTGCGAGGCGACAGTGCTGCCTCCTGCTGCGCGTGTGGAGCAGGTTGTGCTGCAGCGAACTGACTGGTGGCCACTTTAAACACACCTAGTTCTTGGAAACTCAAATTGAATATGCAAGAACGTTTTTCTGATGGGCTGTTAACAACTAATTCTTATTTTCTTGTAGCTATTTAGTCATAAATTTTCTCCTTTTCACATCAGTTTACTATCATTTTACTTGCAGCTGGATCTCAGACTCCTCTCAAAAAGTTGACATTCTGGAGAGATCTCAACCTCCACTCATGAGTCTTAAGATGTGCTGGAATTAAGAAAATATTCAAAAATTTGGCAAGACTCAGATTAGTCCCAGATTAGTCTTCGGGGTGTGAAAGTAGTCGCAGTTTTGTTTTGTTGAATCAGAATGTGTGAGACACCTTTGAGAGGAGTTGGAGTCCAAACTGCAATACAATGAAGGTACAGGTGTGTAATTACATCACACACCCGGCCATCGACATATGTACTGGACATTTAATGTCCATAGGCTTGAATTATAAGGTTTTGTTGACAAATGGGAGGTTCCCACCACCGCCATTTTGACCGTGTCACATGTGTCATCGAGGTGGGGATGTTACGATAGGAACAAATTAACCAGTGTAGCTACTAGCTAACCTAGCTAATCCAAGAAGGGCTCCGACTGGGGGAGATCAGCAGGACATTAGCTACATGCTAACCTGAAGCTAACAGAGTTTTTCCAGGCGTTTTTAGCAAGAAAAACGCAGTAGACACACCCCCGTCCTGCCTAGTAACAAAATCATAACTAGGCTAGCTGACCCAGGATATTGGGCTTAGCTGGTCCACCGCGGTCAAAGATCCGCGCGCCCGCCACTGTCTGCTCTGGGAGCCGACACGGAGCCAAATGACCAAGCAGTGTTATGGTAAACGCATAGAATTTTCCCCATTCAACCAGCAAACTATTAGCAATAAAAAACGGGTGAGCGACTCAAAAGTAAACCAGCATCAACTAAAAAAGCTGCAGTGTTTCTGTGATCTCCCTCAAAAATCCACAAATGACCAGCATGACTACAGCCTGGCATCGGAGCGGTCCGCACTTCGGCTCCCCTGGAAACGGGAACAGCCAGCCGCCTGCTCTAGCAAATCGTCTCGGGCGGAGACAGAAGACGGGCATGCGCTCGTTTCTTATCCAGCAGCGACCCCACTAACATGTTTGACCAAGTAGTTAATGACACAGCATTTCCCCCCATTCAACCAGCTAATTAAAGTACAGAAATCTAAATTTACTTATTGATAAAAGGAGCAGAAACTGCTTAGATGACCTGTTAGTGCAGTCCATAACCACAGCTACCCCTCTGTGTCCAAATAGTCCCATGATTAACATCCAAACACGAACACACACAAAAACTAAAGTTCAGAGAGTCAAAGTGGTCGAACATCTATTAACGTGAGACCGAAGCCCAGGCTGAGGCCTTTCTCCGGAGCTAACTCTGAAGTCACGTGGCCCGGATGCTCATTAATTATTCAGAATTTTAAGCATTTAATTCCACTTAAACAGAAGAGTTATATTCCCCCCCCCCCCCCCCCCCCCCCCGCTGTTTTCATGAATGTAAACTAGATCTATTAGACCTAGAGTGGTTTTTGTACCAGGCTGTAAACATGTTTATTTCTGCGGCCTGGTCCCGACCGGACCAGGTTTATTGCTTCATTTTGATTACTGCTGGTAATCCGCAGAGTTCCTGTGACTCATGCCTGACCAAACTGGGACTCTGGGAATGTTGTCGAACAAAGACCGACTTTGAGAGGAACTGGAGACCAGTGTAAAAACACATGGAGACAATTTAAAGACCTTGTGGTTAACAGGAGAAGCTAGATTTTACTGAACACTCCTGAATGGAGCAGTCCACTTGCGATGGGATCAGGTCTGAACAGAACCTTTGATTTAAGCCGGAACTCAAACATCCCCTCTGCAGCCCAGCCAGGAGGTCCGTTAGTGGTGCTACTGATGCTAGCAGCCGCAGCACCTAGCATGAGCTTACCAGTGTCCGTGCACGGTGAGGCGACTCCCCTGAGCCCCATAAGAGGACCCGTAATTATCCCATCCCAGTGTGGGGTGAGCCGGGTGGGCTGCAGAGTTCAGAGCTGATCCGTCTGCAAATAGAAGCAGCAGCAGCTGTGAGCCTCTGTTCAGACACCCATCCCTCCTTCATCCCTCTGCATGGCAGCTGGGAGGAAGAGGAGCGAAGGAAAGGATGAGTGGATTAAAAAGACTGAGAGGGAAGAAGGATGGAGAGGTGTCATCCGTCTCTTCCCTCTGTTGCTATGACAGCAGGTTGTGTTGGCATGCATCCGAGCTGGCGCTGCCCTCACCTCTGGCATCATGGACCCTGGGGAAGAGGGTGCATGTTGTGCACGTTTGCTTGCTTTTTGCTCACAAGCGTTTGTGATGCTTCGCACTAAAAATGGAGAAAAAAAAGTTGTATTATTTTACAACAAGGACTTTTGGTTTTTATTAATTTAAGCTGATAAATACATTTGTAGTTCATTCACGTTTAAGCATCAGATCTTTAGCATGTTTATCTGTTCATGTTTACATCTCTGTGTGTGTGTGTGTGTGTGTGTGTGTGTGTGTGTGTGTGTGTGTGTATTTTGTCAGTCAGGAGGCTTCTCTCTCTCCCTGACCAGACGGCGCTCTCACCACTGGACAGATGGCCAACACCCTCCCTCTCATCTTCCCCAGCTCATCCCTCCTTTTCTCCCTCTATCTCTGTCTTCCTATCCTGCAGCCTCCCCCATCTCCTCCTCCAAACACCTCATCACCTCGATCCCTCGTTCCCCACCTCCCAGAATCCCTCTCTCCCCGCGTACCTCTCCCCATAATAAAGCAGAGTCAAGCAGATCTTCAGCGTCTCACTTTTATTCTCCTCAACTCAGAAAAATGGGATTCTTCATTTGTTGATTTTTGTTTGGAGTAAAAGAGAAAACAGTAATAATCTGAGATTTTGCTCGCCTACTTTAGAATAAACTGAGCAGATTATCGACCTGACGTCTTTGTTGATGGAGAAACCATCATGAGCCTTCATTGGTCGGGTCATGAAACCAGTGATCTGTCAGCTACACTGACCAAACTAGACCGCTGTCTGGTGTAGAGAAGATAAAATAATTAAATAAAAAGTAAATAAAAATGTTTGTTGCTTTAATAAAAAAATATTAAAGTGATTTCAGATTAGTCCTGTTGAGTGGAAATCAACTGTGTGATGTTTCACTTAGTCAACGTGTCAAGATAAAGGAAATAAAAATTTATGAGTTTTTATTGACATGTTCTCCTCTCCTCTCCTTTCATCCTCTCCTCTCATCCTCTCCTCCTCTCCTCTCCTCCCATCCTCTCCTCTCCTCTCATCCTCCTCTCCTCTCCTCCCATCCTCTCCTCTCCTCTCATCCTCTCCTCTCCTCTCCTCTCCTCTCCTCTCCTCTCCTCTCCTCTCCTCTCCTCTCCTCTCCTCTCCTCTCCTCTCCTCTCCTCTCCTCTCCTCTCATCCTCTCCTCTCCTCTCCTCTCATCCTCTCCTCTCCTCTCCGCTCCGCTCATCCTCTCCTCTCCTCTCCTCTCCTTTCATCCTCTCCTCTCATCCTCTCCTCCTCTCCTCTCCTCCCATCCTCTCCTCTCATCCTCTCCTCTCCTCTCCTCTCCTCTCCTCTCCTCTCCTCTCATCCTCTCCTCTCCTCTCCTCCGTCCCTCCCCTCTCCTTTCTGTTCCTCTCCTCTCATCCTCTCCTCTCCTCTCCTCTCCTCTCCTCATCTTCTCCTCCGTCCCTCCCCTCTCCTTTCTGTTCCTCTCCTCTCATCCTCTCCTCTCCTCTCCGCTCCGCTCATCCTCTCCTCTCCTCTCCTCTCCTCTCCTCCGTCCCTCCCCTCTCCTTTCTGTTCCTCTCCTCTCATCCTCTCCTTTCCTCTCCTCTCCTCTCCTCTCCTCTCCTCATCTTCTCCTCCGTCCCTCCCCTCTCCTTTCTGTTCCTCTCCTCTCATCCTCTCCTCTTTCCTCCTCTCCTCTCCTCTCCTCTCCTCTCCTCTCCTCATCTTCTCCTCCATCCCTCTCCTCTCCTCTCATCCTCTCCTCTTTCTTCCTCTCCTCATCTTCTCTTCTCTCCTCTCCTCTCCTATCTTCTCCTCCTCTCCTCTCCTCTCCTCTCCGCTCATCCTCTCCGCTCATCCTCTCCTCTCCTCTCCTCATCTTCTCCTCCGTCCCTCCCCTCTCCTCTCTGTTCCTCTCCTCTCATCCTCTCCTCTTTCCTCCTCTCCTCATCTTCTCCTCCTCTCCTCTCCTCTCCTCTCCTCTCCTCCTCTCCTCTCCTCTCCTCTCCTCATCTTCTCCTCCATCCCCCTCCTCTCCTCTCCTTTCCTCTCCTCATCTTCTCCTCCGTCCCTCCCCTCTCCTCTCTGTTCCTCTCCTCTCATCCTCTCCTCTTTCCTCCTCTCCTCATCTTCTCCTCTCCTCTCCTCTCCTATCTTCTCCTCCTCCTCTCCTCCTCCTCTCCTCTCCTCTCCTCTCCCGTGCCGGTCCTGTTGGATCCTCAGCATTTATAATGTGATAATAAGGTGTGAAAATGGAGACACAATAGAGCGGTGAGGATTGGGTCGCCTCAGCCCTCCACTGGTCTCCTGTCACACGTTGTCTGATACACACACACACACACACACACACACACACACACACACACACACACACACACACACACACACACACACACAGTCAGGATAATCCTGATACTGTATAATTACCAATGATGGGTTGATTAGCCCCTAAAATAGCTGCTGCAAAGACAAACAGTCTAAAGAAATCTGAGTATCTTCTTTATTTTTGATGCTAACATCTAAAAGTGACACATCAGCTGTCAGTGTCTGTGCCTAAATGCTCTTGTGACCTGCCGTAGATTCCTAAATAAACTCTTGTTTGTTTCCTCAGAAGTTCCTGCTCCTGAGAAAGAGGTGGAGCCTAAAGAAAGCCAGGGGGTGGGAGCTGAAGATGGAGAGCAGGAGGATCATGACGAGCGAGAGGACCGAGATCACGATGACGACCTGGATGATGAGTCCATCTTCACCTGTGACAACTGTCAGCAGGACTTCGACTGTCTGGCTGAGCTCACCGAACACAGAACCAACCACTGCCCGGCCGGTGAGACCTCTCATCCTGGTTGTCATGACACCGTAGAAGCCACAGCTTAATGTTGGCTGGAATATCTCAGACAGTCGGGCGGTCCATTGGTCCTCCCGATGACCTCGTTGGTCACATGCTGCAGGTGCTTTGCAATCAAATGTGTTGAACGAATGTTCTTAGTTTCCTGGGTGACCGATCCATCCCCGTGTTTGATCTCCTATAGTCGTAATACCCGTAGGATCCACTGGGACGCCCACAGAGGCTGTTATTATTGCTGCTGTAATTAACGAAGTGGCTGAAAGGAGCGCGACAGGCTGATCCAAACGCTTCCTTAACAAGTCGACCTTTGATGGGACCGGGCTACATCTGTAGGGTTAGCATGCGCATGTATTTTGGGTGCTACACTACATTTGACCAATAAGATGTGAATTTCTATATAAATATGGAAATCCAATCTGATTGGTCTTTGAATGTTTAACCAGAAGAATTAGAGTTCTTTTTTTATTCAGGGATCGTAACACACTTTGTATTAATTCGGACAGAGTCAAGTTTATAAAAAGTAAGAAATTTATTTTCTAAACGATTAAAAACATGACAACTAGGAAACACGTTACGTGATGAATGAATCTAAGCGGATGGAATGTGAGGTGTGATGATGTGTGAATGTGATGCTATCAGAACCCTCGTATCTGGAGTAACTGAGTTCTGAGGGGGAGTGAATTTGGTCTGTGATGGTTTATAAACCCACATCAGACGCAATCTGTCGCGTCTACGTACCCTCTCGAAGACCCCCGTGGTAGATCTGGAATGTGTTGAAGTCCGTGGACCCCAAAGGTACCGAAGTCTGTAGAAGAAACCGCAGTGCCACTAGACCGGTCTCGAGATGTCTCCAGGTCACGACAGGTAGTTATTTGCGTCTATGGAATGTCTCTTAAGGAGTCGGAGCTGAGTCAGCTTTATTCTGAAGGAACCGTTTGTGGTCAGCTGTAGCGTGCAACAGGTTTTGACAGCTTGCCAAAAGATGCGATGGGAGAAGAGTTTTCCTCCGGTGGCCAGTCAGAGTTCGCCTCAACTGATTCACTAGGATGTGAGTTCTGTTTTAGGAATTGCCAAGTTTTGACTTACTGACAAATAGGGCTGCAACAAACGATTATTTGGATAATCGATGAATCGGATGGGGTCTCGACACGATTAATCGATTAATCGGATTACATGGGGACATTGTTAAAAACTGCTAGGGAAACGTTATTTCTCTCCTTCCTTCACTTTATTTAACACAACATTATTAGAAAACAGTTCAATAGCAGAAAAACAACATCCCATCACCTAAATTGTCTAATAAGGTGTATAGACAGAGACCCTAAGCTACACCTATTTGTGACCTAAAATGCTTGGTCCAAGTTAAACAGCTTAAAGAGCAAGTCAACCCCTACCAGAGTCTAACTCCACTCCCACTTCATGTTGGGAACTTTGGAAGAGTTGCGCAACACAACGAATCGATGACGCAATTCGTTGCCAACGCTTTTAGTAATCGATTTTCATCGAATTTATGGATTCGTTGTTTTAGCCCTACTGACAAATCAGAATCTTACATGTAAAGGGGTTTTGCCAACAACCTCAAAAACCACACCTTGCATCAGATACAGGAGCTCCGACTTGTGGAACAGAAAGCAATGTGTCATGAGATTAGTTTAACCTTGTCATCGTCATGCGTCTGAGTGTGTGAGCTGTCGGTAGGTAGAGATGCACTTGTTAAATCAAACTTTACTGATCACAACATAATAATATTCATTTCAACTTCAGTAATTTAAGCACAGATTAATCAAAGCATAGTTATTATTCTTCAGCCATCATTGTTTATTCAACCATATAATTATTTACGTATTCCATTATTATAACGGTTCATTCTGATAAAAGTTCATTCTAATTGTTTTGTGAAGCAAAGCAGATAAAGACAAGAGGAAACTTGAGAGGGACCTTGGTCAGGCAACAGTATATTTCTTGCAGATTAAAGGTTCCAGTTAAGACTTTTGTCTCCATCTGACCCGATACTGGAGAGGTCAACTGCAGATGAAAAACTGACCATTTCTGGACGCTGCACATCCATGGTCAGACCTGCATCCTCCTGGTCTCCTGCAGGACTCCACGTCTAAAACCTCGCCAAAACTTTCTTTCCTTTATCAGATACGCTTCAGCGAAGAGCAACAGAAACCCTAGAGACAGATGTGGTGAAGGCTGCAGGTCTGGATGTGGTGCAGGTGGTGCAGCGAGAGGGTTGCAGGTTTAAATCCTGACTGCGTGGAGTCAGTAGGGCCGCTACTGGAGAAAAAGTCACATTAAATTAGTCCCAACCCTGCAGCTTGTAATGAAACCACTTTAGCTTATGCTGCACCCCCGCCTCCTGGTGACGAGGAACTCGGGGGTGTTTTTTGTTCTTTTGGGTCAGATGCTGATGCTGTCATGATCCAGTCATACCTGTAGACTCAACACTCTTTTGTCAAATCAGCCAGAGTAACGTCCAGCTCTCCGTTCAAAGCCTCCTACCACTGAGACGTGGACAAGTGTCCAATTAATGTCTACGTCTGTCTCATGTCCACAACCCAACCTCACGTATTTCTGAAACCCTCCGAATTTCCTTTGGGTGCCTCTGTTCTTTACGTTTTCATATTAACCTCCGTTAGCATCCTCCTCACCTCCAGACTTCAGACACCTGAGGTGATTGTAAAAGGGTTTTCACACACATGCAGAAGATGATAGCATCGAGTTAATCAACCTCCTCATGTCTCTGTAGCACGAGCTGCAGAGAGGACTCAGTCTGAAGGTGGAGAACACGCAAGGAAACACAGCTGATGTCCATTTGTGGACAAAGACAGGTTCTTTATGATGGTGTGTCCTCTATCATCTCTATCAGGACTTCCTGGTTCCTTCTTCTCTCTCTCACCATCAGCTGTTGCTCCAGCGGTAAACAGCAACCTGTGGATAGAGCTGGCCGACTTCATGTCCCTAGAGACTCTTAAGGCATTTTATCAGGTTGTTTCGAAAGTGACTCGCTGGTAATTAAAACGAGTTACGGCAGAGCAGCAGCTGTTTACATTACACATATTTAAACAGCTGCTTCCTAAAAAGCAGGGAAATTATAGAGCTGCAGGAACGGCAGCAGAGGAAGAGTCTGGTAAAACTCTTCATGCAAACATTTTAGTGGGAGGACATTAACTCTGCAAATTAATTTTAAAGGATGGTCTGGATCAGTGGTTCTCAATCCAGGTCTTTGATGGCTGGTATGCAGCATGTTTATGTTGTTTCTCTGCTCAAACATACCTCATTCAGTGCATGAATCACCTGCAGCAGCTCACCAGGCTCTGCAGAGGACCACTGGTCTGGATAATATCAGTGCTACTGTTTTACCACCCAGCAAGACTTTTAGGTGTCTTCAGTGGTTTTAGGTCCCCCTCCATGAGGAGAAGAGAGTGAGAACCTGAGAAGTTGTTCATGTGGAGACGACCAGAACCACAGCTGACTGGACTCTGCAGAGAGCTGATTGTGTTTCTGGAGCTACAAGCACATCTTGGTCTGGTTTAGACATGGAGTCATGGGCCGATGAGCTGGTAGTCAAAACAACGCAGACAACATTTAGCCGGAGTCTTTTGCTATGATTGTGTGTGTGTGTGTGTGTGTGTGTGTACCCGTAATCTTCCCACAGACATGTGATAGCCTTTTTTGTTTTCTTGCTGAACGCTCCTTTTTTGCTCACTCATATGTGAACACACACCTCTGGTTGTTTATGTCATGTCACAGTCAGACGCACGCTGGGAGCGTCTCGCGGGGGCGCCTGTCAGAGCGCAGGATGTGGCCTGTGATTTCAGCTCAGGAGTCTGTGGAGGGCTACATGTTGCTGAGGGGTGGGGGTAACGGAAAAAATGAAATGATAAAGCATGCTCTCCTCCGGAGAAAAGCCGGCTGAGATTGCAGAGTAATCCCGTGGCTCTGCTGGATCCGAGTGCACTCGGATGCCTGTTTGTGTTGTCTGGTCATTAAACACGTGAGCGTGCACGTGTGTGTGTGTGTGTGTTCTGGGGAGGACAAATCTAAATGAAAAGGCTCAGATGAAAGAATTCTCCTAAACTCTCTGGAGACCTCTGCAGCCGGGGAACAGAGACACAAACGTATGGAAGATGACACAAAACTCAAACTACCGGCGTGACGGAGTTAATGGCTTCATGCATTATGCAGTCGTGACCTCGAACAGAACGTTGGCCATCTTGGGTGGGTGGTGAATGGCAGAGGGGCCGTGCTGGATGAATTAACATGCTGCTAGTGTTATATCCTCTGAAACCCCATGCGTGGTCATAATGTTATGGCAGATGGGTGTATATTGAAGTAGCGCTGTATCTTGTTAACCAGTTTGGTGTCGTTTCATGAAAAAAAATCATAAAACATTAAACTAATTTATTCTGTGTGATGGAGTCACTAAAGTCTTGTCTGGAATCGGCTGAAGTTCAGCGGGATCGGTGTCGTCTGTGATCTGAAACGTTTTCGGTTTTACGATCAATGAATGACCCACACTTGTGTAGCGCCTTTCAGAGTCAGAGGACTCCAAAGTGCTTTACACTACATTGAACCATTCATCCATTCACACCCTGGTGGGGATGAGCTACATCGTAGCCACAGCTGCCCTGGGGTGCACTGACACGGGCGAGGCTGCTGAACGCCGGCGCCACCAGCAGGCGAGGTGAGTCAAATGTCTTACCCGGGAAACAACAGCAGCATTCCCTGCCATGAGCCGGGATCAAACCCACAACCCTCCGATGACCGGGCAGCCTGCTGAGGTGAAGTCACCCAAACAAAGCGTCGGCCTTTAAAACGAACCGCTTCAGCGTTTTTCTGTTTCGATTCTTCATCCATGTGTTGATTTAATCTCCTGCTCACGTGGGCCCAAAACGTCCTGGAGAATGAAAGAACAATAATAAAACAGTTTCCGCTACAATCAAGTCTGAGAGGTTCAAGTGTTCGACTCCAAA